GGCCGGAGGAAAGTATTGTTGGGTTGGTTACCTACCTACGTTTTCCCTCCCACCCACCCCTTGCATGCATCCCGGTTCGGTACAGTGCCACGTCAGCAGCGCCACGTCACAGTGCCAGATCAGCAGTGCCACGTCACAGTGCCAGGTCACAGTGCCACATCAGCAGTGCCACGTCACAGTGCCAGATCAGCAGTGCCACGTCAGCAGTGCCACGTCACAGTGCCAGGTCACAGTGCCACGTCAGCAGTGCCAGATCAGCAGTGCCATGTCAGCAATGCCATGTCAGCAGTGCCAGGTCACAGTGCCATGTCAGACATAGTGCCACGTAAGCAGTGCCACATCAGCAGTGCCACGTCAGACACAGTGCCACGTCAGACAAAGTGCCACATCAGCAGTGCCATGTCAGCAACATGACGGGCCTGCCAGGGCAACTGCCCAACGAGTCCCTTGCCGCCTACAAGCAGCGTTTCCACGCTCTGATTGAGGCTGAGGAACAACGCCTGCTGGCAGCCGAGGCTTCCCGCGTACAGGCTGAAGAGGCAGCAGAAGCAGAACAGCTGCGGCTACAGGCCGATGCAGACGCAGATGCCCAGGCTCGCCGCAAGGAAGCCCAGGATCTGCTGCATCGGCATGAAGCCAACAGCATCGACAGACTCAAGTACTGGCATTTTGAACCGAACGGCGACGAGGCAACACCGGAAGAGAAGCACAAGGAGTTCCTCTCCAAACTCGTGACACGGTTGTTGTATGCTTGCAACTACCAATGGTCAGAGTTGGAGAGACAGTACCGGGACCTGACGCAACATCATCAGGAGTTGGCGACGCTCCGCCGCACAGTGCAGGGCCACGAGGATGCAACTCGGGCACTCAATGCCCGATTGTTGGACCTGGAACAGGCTGTACCAGGACCAGCTGCTGGGGCTTCCAGCAGTGCACCCTCTAGCCGCCAACTGGAGGACCGCGTTGACCACGTCGTGGCAATGCTCGGCGACATCAGCACTTTCGCTGCGCCGACCACCACCATCAGCAGTCAGATGCATACATTGAAGACCGAGGTCCAACAGCTACAGACGACGAACGCAAATGGCAATCCGAAGATGTATAAGATGCCAACGTTCACTCTGGAGAGGTTCGACGACTACACGCAGCAGGATCCGGTCCTCTGGTGGGAATCATTCACAACACAACTCAGGATTCTGCCTGTAGACAAGCATGCGTACATCGGCGCCCTGTTCCTGAACTCAAAGGGCGGATGCCAGACCTGGTTGACCCACCTGGCAACCTCCCACGGCGTCGACGTACCAGACTTGAAGGACGTAATCACATGGGAGGAACTGACACGGTTGTGGAAGAAGTGGTTCATCGTCGACGACGCGCCAGCACTCGCCATCAACCGACTGTTCACCATGTCACAGGGCAACACAACAACACGGGACTGGCTCACGGAGTGGCAAAAGATTGCGGTTGTGCCCAATCTGAGCTTACCATTCGAGCATCTACGCCGTGAGTTCTACACCAGGTCCTGTGCTGCATTGAGCCAGATTCTTGGTGATCGCGAGCAGTACTCAACCTTCGCGGAGATCATTGACAAAGCGAGGGAGATCATCAAGACCAACAGGTCAGCTGCACACGAGAAATCAACATCATGGCAGCCGACCTATGTGGAGAAGGTACGAACTGGTCCGCGACAGCAGCACTTCGCTGGAGTCCAGCAGGACAGTGGAGATAACCCAGCAGCCACTCCAGCATCAAGTGACGGACATCAGGTGGCTGTTGTCCAGCCGCGAAGCACCAACAAGTCCCGCAACAATGGGAAGGCGAAATCCGCATCGCAGGCCGGAAATGGACAGCCAGGACAGTTTCCATGGGTCCAAATCTAGGTCGAGGGGCCTCAGCAGCAGTTGAACCTCATTGGGACTATACTGGGACACATGCAATGCAGGGTCTGGGACAAAGGAAAGGCTGAATTGAGCCCATGCAGACCCAGCGAGGAGTGGCCAGCACTATAAAAGAAGCTGCCAGCCTCATTCCTCGCCAGATCTCCACTGGCCATTTCTGCGTGGAAGTGYTGGTGYACTTGTGCRCTGAGTCAGGAGGAGCAGCGCTGGAGGATGAAGAGGCGCTGAGTGAGGGAAGAAGCCTGTACGCTGGAAGAGATGCAGCCAGAGCTGCCCAGCGAGTTAGCATTAKTAGTAGAGGGTTAGTACYTTAGCTATGAGTAGTATTSAGAGTAGATCCTCATGAGTGAAGAGTGTGTATGCATCAAAGGAGGAAGGGACTGAGACCGAGAGTGTTCATTCAAGGTTTGGCTATGGAAGATACTTACCTGAGTTGGATGTGAACTGCAGAGGTGGCGCTGATGAGTGACCACCTTGATGACTTGGARACGAACTGCGCTGGTGCAATGGAAGTCCTATTGATGAGTTGACAAGAGCTGTGTGTTGCGCTGATGAGCGCWGGACTCAGGGGAAYTTTGAAACACTTTGTAATCATATTTTTKATAATATAAGYTGTGAAACTCGGTCCTCTTCTCATCTACCTTTGTCTATGACTTGAGACTGCTGATCATTGTGTGTGAGGGTGATGCATGACATGTGCACTCTTGCGTGAGTTGGTCCCCAGGACCCATGCAAAATTTTGGTATCGGAGCAGATGCTCGCTGCACTCATAGCGCTGGCATGATCAAGGCCGGCGAGAAGAAGTGGTGATGGAGAATATGTGAAGGAGGGAGGAAGAGGAGAGGTGTTGGATAGTGGGGGAAGCAGGCCGAAGAAGAAGTGGCAAAGTCTACTTACCTGGAGCGTGCGGAGCGTCGTGGAGCATCGTCGGCGGTATCTTCAAAAAGAGAGAAGCACCTCCTTTCCCTGAACCTGCGTGTATGTGTGTGTCCCCTACCTTCTCTCTCTCTAACCCTCTGAACGTGACTGCTGCTGGTCTGGAGTCGAAGTCTGGATCTGGGTCGTCCTAGAGTCTGGATGGTCCAAGTGCGATGTGTCAGGGCCTGGTCACACTAGATTAGGTGGTCCAGTGTTCTGCGAGTAGGAGTTGACTTCTCTCCTACCCCTCTCGATAGGCAGACTGGGTATTGTTGTCAAGGAGTGAGAATCGATCTGGGAAGTGGCTATCTGCCACATCAGATTGTAAGTACCAGGCAGCGTAAGAATGATAGTGAGTATCTACAGGGCCTGTTGAGCCCGTTAGCAAGAAACATCTGAACGAAGTATTCCTGCCTGGTTGGATAAGTGAACCATCTTAATCTGATCTTCTGCGTTGTACTCCATACCTGCATCAGACACCTAGCAAGTTAGTATAAAGAAAAATATATATATCAAGGGGAAACAAGACATCAGGAACACATTGTCAAAAGTTTGATCCAGGGAGCTAGACAGCATATCAAAAGAAAAAGGAAAGAGTATACATATTTAAACAGTCAACTTGTTTTAGTTTGATCTACGCAACACCTTCTACAAAAAAAAAAAAAAAAAAAAGTACAGTACTCCATTCACCGCAGAGCAGGAACTGAGACCGCAAGTGGAATAATACCTTGGTGATCCGGCGGAGGGTTCCTTGTGCCGGTAGTCATCATGGATGACTATCCCATCCAGGGCCTGTTCGCCCTTTCTGTCCTATTGGGCCCGATATTCTGGCTCATGTTCCCATTGGGGTTCGGACGTGTGTGCACGTCCCGCATGCTGATGCGGTCTGGAATAGTGAAGCCTGGCCCTACACCTGCGGAGCAGGTAGAGATAGATTGCAAGTTGGCAGAGAAAAAAAAAAAGAGAGAAGCCAAGAAAAAACAGAAAGAAGAGGAAGCAAGAAAGAAGATGAAAGAGAAGATGGATAAAGAATTAGAAGAAGAGTTAAAGAGTATACAAGAAGAAGAAGAGGAAGAACAGGAGGAAGCGGAGACTTTAGTAAGACATCGCCCCATTGACATACCTGAAAGTAGTCATACCGCAGTAGACCRGCTGCCCGTTGRACYACTCGACTGGGCAGGCCAGTACTACTACTCCAGCGAGCCATTAAAGGAAACTGATGAAGAACGGGATACGTTCATCGCCAAGTTGGCCAATGTCACAGATGTCGTTGAACGAAACCTGATGATGGCAGAAAAGAGGGTTGAACTGAATGCCAGGTTGTTAGCTTCCAGACGGCAAGAGATAGATGAAAAGAAACGACTGCAGGCAGAAGGAGAGAAATTGTCGAAAGCTCTAGAAGCGCAAAAAGAAAACCCCTCTGAAACCGAAACACAACTTGCTCTCCTCAGGGAAACAGTCCTCAACACAAGGCAAGATATGAATTTAATGCGTCAGATCCTACAAAGAGTTGAAACGCATCGAATTGAATTCGAAAACGTCTGGAATAACTTATTGGAAAGTCAGCCAAAGACGTTGACTAACACGTGCAAACTTATATTAAAGTCTTGGATGAACATGTTATTGAGACATTCACCCCAGAAGTTATAGAAAAGATAGTAAAAGGTGTTGGAGGCGGAGGAGGAGATGGTGATGACAACGGCGATGATGACAAAAAAGGGAAGAAGAAGATTGGGGATCCAAAAGAAAATCTTCCTCAGGAAACCGGGCAGGTTAGCAAGATAAAACTCAAACTGCCATGGACCTATAATGGGAAGAAGGAAGAAAGTGTTCTGCATTGGGCCGCGACAATTGAAACCTATGTGTACGGACAACGTATCCTATACTGGGACAGGGTATTAATGGCGACTTCATGCATGGGAGGCGACGCCATGAGCTTCGCCATCTAGCTGCAAAAGGAGGGGGGATGCAGCTCAATGGTAGAATATTCGCAGCAAACGCGAATTGAAGATTTCCTTAAGTTGATTAGAGAAAGGTTTGAGGACAAGAATTTAGCGCGCCGCACTGAAATGTTAATCCTCAGCCTCCCCGATAGGAAATGGAAGAGTACCTCTGCATTAAAAGCAACTATGGATGACCTATTGCAATGCCCTGATCATGGATTGACGCCGACCAAAATCTTAAACAGTTTCGACCACGTCCTCTTCCTTGACGCCCTCCCCCGCGGGCTGCAACAGCTGCGTAACTCCCCTCCTGAGCTACCGGTCTGTTGGGTTCATTGAGACCATAGTCTACCTGATCCCAGGAGATGGTCTCGGCGCCTCCTTCTTCAAAAGTTAGAAGGAGACTGTCCTTCCCAGGTATAGACCCTGAGATAGTGTGGTTTTGCCATCTCTTACCCGCTTGCAGATCCTTCCAATAATGGCAGTAATTTGCTTCGGCGAGGAAGCCGGCGTGATCTATTGTGATCTTGTCGAACTTCTCATATGTCATCCCCTCTTCTTTGGTGCGGGGATAGAGTTGCGTTCGTAGGGGATCCGGAAGTGCTCGTTTGTCGCGGCCGTGGTGGACGAGGATTCAGCACCCAGAGGGGTGGTGGTGAAGGAAGCCACTACGTGGGAGGAAGGGGAAATAGTCCCTCATACGGTGGTCGTGGTTCTTACTCCACCTGGGGTAGAGGCAGAGGCTCATGGTACAACAAGTGGGATAAGCCATACCCACCACATCCAGGCCTACCGGAAGGAGAGCCTTGGAAAGAATTGGGAATCACAGAAAAGGTCTAGCAAGAGAGAAAGAAAGCAGACCAATGCCTCAAATATGGGGACCCCGACCACATTGTCCCCTATTGCCCTGACTATAGGGGAACCAAAGGAAACAGCCAGTAGAGGTGCCAGCTGCCTCTACCGAGGCTTCGAATGTTGAAAAATCAGAATCCTCCCATTCGAAGGTCCCAATGGCAGAAACTGAAGAGGAAGAAAGTCCCCATCTAGTGCACTGTCCAGAGGTGGCAAACGTATGCATCTCTAAAGATGGATCCCTCGTTGGCGTGGGTGATGAGTTGGCCGCTCGTCGCCAAGCCTAGACTGAAATGCGAAAGAAGAAAGGACAGCTAATAATTGCAGATCTTGCGATAAATCGAGTCAGAGTAGGAGGTATGATAGACAGCGGGTCTACACGCATCTATATTAGCAAAAAAGGTTTGCAGAAACTGCGTCTTGGGCTTAAAGTTAAAAAGTTAAATGAGCCCATTGTAAGTAAGTTGGCGAATAGTAGTGAAACCATCATGGATCGATACGTCGAGGGGGTTCAAGTATACTTTCGGCTCGAGGCAGAGGGGAAGGTGGAACGTGTTCTCCACTCTTTGACCTTCTTGGTGGAGGATAACTTGTCCTTTGATGTGTTGCTAGGAATGGATTGGGGTGAGGCTGCGAATGCGGATCTGAAGTTAAGAGAACATGAATGTTGGCTCCCAAGTCCGCAAGGAGGTAAGAAGAAAATTCGCCTCTATCATGAGTCTGGGAAAGAAAGCAGCCTAGCTCACTGTTGCATGAGTGCCCCGGCGTTCGCTCGCCATGTTAAGAGACATAACTTGTATGCCCAAGTCTTTGTTGCATATGTGCGCTCAGTAAAGGAAGGAGAAACTAAGGAAGAAGTCAGGTCTCAAGAGATTGAAAGGATCCTGAAAGAGTTCGCAGACGTGGTTGAAGCCCCAAGCGGTGTGATGGAAAGACCAATCCGCCACCGCATCGATATCATTCCAGGGAGTGCGCCCCCGAAGGGGCCTACCTATCGTATGTCGCCCCAGGAATTGGATGAACTGCGAACCCAACTCGATGAGTTGTTGAAAAATTGATGGATAAGACCTAGCTCCTCGCCCTATGGTGCGCCTGTGCTCTTTGTACCTAAGAAGGATGGCGGCGTTCGCATATGTATAGATTATAGGCGATTAAATTATATAACTATAAAGAATGTCGAACCATTACCGCGAATAGACGATTTGCTGGATCGCGTGCAGGGTTGCAAAATCTTTTCAAAGATTGATCTGAAATTCGGCTACCATCAAATTGARGTTGAGCCGGAAGACCAACACAAGACTGCCTTCAGAACAAGGTATGGGCACCACGAGTTTATAGTTTTGCCCTGTGGTCTCACGAATGCCCCTGCCACTTTCCAACGAACGATGAACGAACTATTTCGTGAGTGGCTTGACAAGTTTGTTGTGATTTATCTAGATGATATTTTGATTTTTAGTAAAGATGAAAAGGAACATGCTGAGCACCTTCGACTCGTGCTAAACAAATTACGAGAAGCAAAACTCAAGATAAACCTGAAGAAGTGTGAATGGGCTAAGCGTCAGGTTCTA